ATTGCAGTGTACACTGATAGTTCCAACTCCCCAGATGGAGTAGAGTATGTGCCTGTTTTGTTTTCCCTGCATTTTCACAAGTTATTCAATACTCATCACTGTTATACATATTGCAGTCATTCTCTTCATTATTTGTTGTTTCAGACTTTCAAAGATTTTTTTGTTACAAACTTTCCCGATTTTTATTCCCTACATACCATCGTACTTTGTATACAACTATGTTTATGCTGTATTCCTAGCAAGCACAAAGTCATCTGCTGGGTCCATGGACACAGTGGTGTTCAGGACAATGGGCAGACTCAGTTGCTTGGCCCTCTACCTTGGACCCCCGTCCTACTGGGAGAGGGCATCTATTCCTTGGATTATTTTCCTATGCTCTCTTAATGATTGAAGTTTCCTGGCAAAATCATCAGTCTGAGTTAGAGTACAACAAATTGTTTTCTGTTAACCTGCAGCTGGGTTCCTAACCATTTTCTTTATATTGCTGTTGGTTGTGAAACTACACTTGCATGATTAAACAGCTTAAAACCTAAATAGTTTTAGCTGTTGACTAAACTTAGTTAACTTGGTCAAGAGAGTTCTTATTAAGGGGAACATACAACTAACACATAGATGCTGCAGGGAGTACCATGCCAAACTGGTGATTCACCATACCTTAATAGACTTCTGTCTATGAGAGAGGATGCAGAAATCACATACATCTACATAGCCCTGTTGCACTCACTCAAACTGACCTCACCAAAAATCCCATCTTCAGTGTAGATTCATTTTTAAGTTTTTAACAAAAAAACCTGTTGAAGCATATGGTGCAACTGATTAAAGTCACAGTTAACCCACATATTGAATACAGAATTAGATGACATTGAAATCTGTCCAGGATGGACTAAACCAACTTGTAGGTTTGCTGCAAATTGTTTCCACCACAGTTTTGTGACTTTTACATATTCTTCTTGGAACTGATAGCATATTCATATGTTCCATGTGATATGTGCACATACTATGCAATTTAGTCAATACCTACGACTGCAATATTGGATTGTATTACAGTATTATAGTTATGAGGAAGCACTAAACCTGTAGAGGTTATACTCCATCTGGGAATTGGGAGGTAATCAGATTTAATTCACACAAGGGAAGGGGGTACTTCTGACTCTTTGAATCAAGAGACCTTCATCAGTATGAAGGCCATTATTATTATTATTATTATAATCAAAGGGGAAGCGCTAAACCCGTAGGATTATACAGCGCCCGGGGGGGTGGGATGTGGAAGGCATTCAGGCTTAATTCGGGGAACTGGAGCACAGTTCCAATTCCCTAAATCAAGAGCCCCTCACCAACATCAAGGAACCTTCCATGAGGGGATGAAGGCCATGGGTCAGTAGGTATCAGTTGACATATACAGCTAGGAATGTAATCCCTGTGAATCTGGGATCTGACTGTATATCCATTTGGTATGGACTGCACATTGTACATATGTGTAACAACTGAATTACTGTACTATATCTTTCTTCAGTACTGTATATTTTCTTTCTAAACTACGTATTAGTACTGTTGTATTGATGCACTGAACATCTCTGATTTTGTATTGTATGTACTTACAATTTAGTAAAATTAGAGATTAAAGATTAAAGATTCTTTATTTCAGCATGATACAATGTTTGTACAAGGGTGAATGACATTTAGGTTTGCATGCAGAAAGCCTCTTAGTATGCAGAGCATTTCGGGCAAACTTTAACTTATCTTAAGAATAATAATAATCTTAAGATTATTAATCTTAAAATTAATAAGGTGATAACTAATTGATTGCTTACATTTAATTTACCGTACCTCTTGTAAATATTCATGTGCTTTTTGTTTGTCTGTGTTCAATTTAATAGTTTAATACCTTTATTATGCATCTCATACCCATCCTGTGAGTGGTAATCAAAAGATTACAGAGGCACATATGCCCAAGGACTGGGTCACAAAGTTCTGATAACTAAGCAAGTTACATAATCACAGATAATACCACAGACCACTACCCTACCTTTCTCATAACTAATCTAGGTAAATTACCCAAGACACTACTTAAGTCACTTTCAGACTTCATAATGAGGCAGGCATTAATAACTTCATAACATTAATGACAAACATCGACTGGCATACTGAGCTAGAAATCTATACAGATATTGACGAATGTATTAATAATTTCCTAAAAAAGACCCAATACCTCTATAACAAGCACTGCCCTAAAAAAACTAAACAGATCACAGCTAAGAGACTGAAAAGTCCCTGGCTAACACCCAGCATCCTCAATCCATAAATACAAAGCACCTATACGAAAAACAGTACAGAATGGGTCACATAACCAGAGACCAAACAAAACATTACTCGTCAATCCTGACCAGCCTGATAAGAAGGGCTAAAAAATTGTATTATGAGAACAGATTATCCAACTTAAAAGGTGATATAAAAAAGACCTGGAAAACCCTATCAGAAATTCTAGGAACAAAAAAGATATCAGGAAATAGCGCAATTGAACCAACAAAACCAGATGAACCCCAACTCCCACCAACCGAAACAGCAAACAGACTCAATGTTTTCTTCTCCACCATAGGAAAAAAACTTGCCAATAAAATCCCAAGCTCAAATACCCCACCCAGTGACTACCTCACTGGCAACTACCAGAACACACTGTTCTTAGCTCCGAGTAACCCAACAAAAGTCTCCCTTATTATCAATACACTAAAAAGCAAGACAGGAGATTTAAATACCTTACCACCCATTATATACAAAAAAGCTTTGCAAGTGCTGTCACCAATCGTTGCAACACTCTTTAACAAATCCATCGAATCCTCTACCTTCCCTACAGTTCTCAGAATAGTGAGGGTCACCCTGATACATAAAGGAGGAGACCAAACAGACTTGAATAACTATAGACCAATATCCAACTTGCCCCCTCTCTCTAAAAATCTTTGAAAAATTAATTCATAAGTGAATCTATTCCTACCTCATCTCCCACAACATACTCAACCCATAGTTTGGGTTCAGGCCTAATAAAAATACAAATGATGCTATTATACACATGCTTACACAAATATACACTGCACTCAAGAAAAAAGAAGTTCCACTGGGAATCTTCATTGATTTATGTAAAACTTTTGATACAGTTGACCATGATTTGCTCCACATAAAATTGTCACACTATGGTATAAGAGGGCACTCCCTCAACTACCTAAAGTCATACCTCAGCAACAGAAGCCAATATGTGTACACAAATGGAGCAAACTCTTCCACATAGCCAATTACAGTTGGTGTCCCACAGGGAAGTGTCCTTGGCCTCTTCTCTTTCTCATTTACATAAACCAAATGCATCGCAATTACTCAAACCCACACTATTTGCAGATGACACTACATACATCTTCTCTCACCCAAGCCCAGTCATGCTAGCCAATACTGTAAATACCGAATTACAGAAAATATCTACTTGGATGATGACTAACAAACTTACTCTCAACATTGACAAAACCTACTTCATTCAGTTTGGAAACAGAGCTACAGATGTCCCTCTTAACATAATGATAAATGGATCACCTATCACAAAGCTAACAGAGGGAAAATTCTTAGGAATCCACCTTGATAATAGGCTCAAATTTCAAACACATGTACAACAAATTTCCAAGAAAATTTCCAAGACCGTAGGCATACTATCGAAGATACGGTTCTATGTTCCACAGTCAACCCTCCTGGCCCTATATCACTCACTCATTTGCCCCTATCTCACCTATGGAATTTGTGCATGGGGCTCAACAATAATAAACCATCTCAGACCATTAATTACCCAACAAAAGGCTGCAGTCAGAATGATAACAAATTCCCATTACCACCAGCACACTCCACCAATATTCAAAACTCTAAACCTACTCACCATACAAAACATCCATACTTATTATTGTACCTACTACATACATAGAACACTTAACTCGGATATAAACCCTCCCCTCAAACGTCTCCTTACCAACCTCAATAGAACACATGACCATAACGCAAGGCACAGATCACTCTTTGATGTTCCTCGTGTCCATCTCACACTGCAAAAACTCGATGCACATAAAAGGCCCAAAAATCTGGAATTCATTACCTGTGACCATAAAAGAAACACTGTCTGATCATAAATTCAAGTGTCTTCTTAAAAACCACTTACTCACTCACAACTAAAATACTGCATAACTGTTTCTCATAAATTATAACCTGTGACCCTATCAAACTTAGTTTTTTTAATTACATTACCTAAAAGAATACTCCATTCTCTTGAATGCACAGTAACTCATCAAATGACCATATGAAATGTCTTTGAAATACTCAATTGTTCTTAAATGTTATTTGTTTACTGTCATTTTTACCACTGAATATATCACTGCTTAGTTAATCTTAAGTTAATTTTAAGCTGCCTATAATGCTCTGCATACAAGGGGCTTTTGGCATGTACACTTAACCACTGTATTTCTTTGTACATCTATGTATCATGTCCAAATTAATAATAAATAAATAAATAAATAAAATACAGTGGTATGCATAAAATGTGTTTTTTGCATGCATGTAGTGTGTACAGCACTTGGTGTTTGCTAAAACTTTACCAAGCTGTATGAGTGAGGGCATGATGAAGAAGGTAAATAATCTTGCCAACCATTGAGTGTAATGGTCAGGGTTGTACAGTTTCTTTTTTACCTGGGGCATTATATGTAAGATTTTTAAAAACATCTATAAGAATTTATTTAAACTGAATACATGATTCAAAAGCATGAAAATACTGCAAATTATTTTTAAAAGTGTTTTTATTTCATGATAGCTATAGTCCTTGCTTTTTTTTTAACTACAGTAGTTATTACAGTAATTGGGAAAATGAACTACCAGATGAAATGAACAGAAATGATGTATCATTGTGATATTTTGTTGAATGAACTAATTCTAAGTGCATACGTCAAATAAATATATAAATAACACAAATTATATTTTTTCAGATTATTCGTGGGCTTGGCGTGCTGTGCCCTGATTGCGAGTGCACAAGGTCAAGAAGCTGATTATTATGATTACTATGAAGATGTGCCTCTAGATGAAGCCGCTGCAGCTGGTGCAAAGGAAGATGCTGCACATGAAGTGGTTGGTGAGGAGCCTCTACCAGAAGAACTTACACCAACTGAAGCACCTGTGGAAAAGTCCACACCCTCTGTTCCAGATGGCCCAAAACCAAGAAGGAAATTGGTAAGCCTTCGTAAGACTCCAAGGATTGGTGCATCCAGACGGTTACCATCACATACAGACACTGTTAGCCCAGCTGATGCTCCTGCCACCTCTTCGACCACACCTAGTACACGCTCACGTTCATCTCCAAGTAGTAGTAGCAGCAGCAGCAGCACATCTCGTTTACGTCGTCCAACATCAAGGGTCAGTGGATCCTCACAAAGTGAAGCTACTGATGCTACTGCTGATGCTGCTCCTCAGGAAGAGTCATCCTCATCTAGGACCAGATCTTCTGCACGTGCAGGTTTCCGCCCATCTTCACGGTCTCCGTCAAGTTCATCATCGAGCAGTTCTGATAAATCTTCATCATCATCATCATCATCATCATCTCGTCGTACGTTCAGCCGTACCCCTACAACCGAAGATCCTAATAAAGGTGGATCTTCCCATCGATTTAACCGTCAGAATTCTAGAACTGGCTCATCCTTCAGACCAAGTTCATCCAAGTCTTCACAAGCCAATGATGAAACTCAAGATGATACCACCACCTCATCCAGCAGGTTTGGTCGTCGTCGCAGCCAGTAGTTAGCAGTGTACTTATACACCCTCTCAGTATTGAAACAACACATACTTCTTACAATCTCAAAATACAGAACTGATGTATGATTTGGCTACACAAATTTTTGGCTACTGTCACTTGACCTAATTGCCATTTAATCAATAATTTTCATTAGCTAACATGGATACATTACACTTTATTGCACATCAAGTACATTATTTCTTCTGAGTTGTGTACTCTATTATTTCCTTTCACTTTAATCCCATTAACAATAGTAATTCAACTTGTCTTCCCTGTGCTCTATACTTTCTTTTTTTTCCAATTCATGGAAATCTATCTTTTCAGTTTATACAAGTTCTACTCCTCCTCAGCATAAATGCACTACTGTCATTTTTTGTAACAATAACAGCCAATTGTGATAATTTTTCACTTAAGCCTTGTTCTGTTTTTCTATTCATTGTTCATTTATATAAAAAGTTTGTTTCTCTTTTTTTTCATTCTCCATGCTATCAGTTGTGTGTAAATTTTAAGCTGTTAATAAAAGTACTGTAGTTACATTTATATTCCTACTCCTTGATGAAAGTGAAGGGCAAAGGGAGAAAACAAGACTTTTTTGAGTGACATGATTAACAAGTGTGAAAGATTCCCATCTCTGCTTCTTTCATTTGGGTTCACAGATGAGTGACTGAAACAAGATGGTCTCTCTCTCTTATGTGGCATTTATTATTGCCAGGGTAACTTGGTAATCCTTCTTTTCACTATCATTCCATTTTGCATGTGATTGCTTGCCATTCAAACAGCCATCAATGTATCTAAAAATAGATGTATTTAATGAATATTTACAAGTCAAGGATGATGAAAGTCTTATGTGTATGGTAATGTTTGTTATATTTTAATGGGGATCAGTTGTGCAAATTAATCATGAGTGAAAATGACTTAAATTATTACAAGTGGGTTATGGCAGAATTAACTTCATATTTGCAGATACTTCCAGTAATTCACATTAGGCCTTATGGGTGCATTTATAAGCCTTAAGTATATTGTATACACTACTGTGAGTATATGTCACAGATCTAGAGAATTTCAACTGCAGTACAGATATATGCACTGTTGTTTGAGATTAATCAGATACAATACAGATCTTATATCAGAAGCGTAGCACTCAATGTGGTAACATTACTTTATAGATACTATCAAGTAATACCATGAGAGTGAGAAGGAAATCTACTACTCATGTAGGATGAACCTGTTCACTTGTGGAACTAAACCTTGTTCATGGCTCAGTAGCTACAGCAGATAAAATATTAAACAGATTAATTGCTCTCTGAGGAAGAATGATGACCTTAATAAGCTGAAAGGTTAGGTTCCTAATTTGTGTAGTACGTACTGTATTTAACATAATGAAAAAGCTGTTGGGGGACTTTAGTTTCCATCTTATTCAGCAGGTAAGTGTCTTATAAGACTTTTCTAATCATGTTTTGCTTAAAGATTATCACTAGTCTTCAGCGTAAACAGAGTGACCTTAAGTAAATCGGAGAGTTGCATAAACCTAATGTATATTAAAACCACGTGTCATTCAGGTATATCACTTCAACACTTAGGTTGTACAAAAAGTTAAAAAATAAGTGAACTGAAAGAGGAATACACTAGGATGACACTATATCTCCACTGCATTAAGAAATACATTAAATAAAAATTTGATTCCAATGCAGCACTTGTGATAAAACTGTTAAATATCAGTGGGGCTATTTATGACACTTTGTTTTGCTTCAACATCATAATTCTCTATATAGTTGCTTCATTGAATGAATTACCATACATACAAAAATCCTCGGGAAAATCGAGCTCAAATACAGATAAACAAATACCAGCAAACTCAAACATGCACGTGCACAAGATTATAAAAGTGTATGAAGGAACTGACAAGGAGGACTTCCAAACACTGAACTGGGCACAAGAGGCCATAACTACAAACTAAGGACGAGGTGTTGTCTCAAGAACAGCTGATTTTTTTTTTTTAGTAAACAGTGGTAATCTGTCTCTTTTGCTTACAAACACAAATACATAGTGGAACCCTGGTTATCGGCCTAATCCATTCCAGAAGGTTGGCCTAAATCCGAAATGGCTGAAAACCGAATTAATATTTCCCACAAGAAATACAATTAATCCTTTCCAGACACCCAAAAATATTAGCGAAAAATACATTTTTTAAAGATTAAAAAATGAGAGTGTTTCAGGATTTTCAGAGTGATACACGAGTAAAGGCTTCACTTTGAAATCCCAACTAGCGTTACCAGAGAACAAGAGAGTTAGCCTATCTTTCATAGGCTTGTGTCCTGGCAGTGCCTTTTCCTCCTTTGTGATGTAGGTCGTCTTTGGCATTTTCTTCCAAAAGAGGCCTGTTTCGTCACAATTGAACACTTGTTGGGGATGAATCCTTCAGCCTCTACGTACCCCTTAAATTCATGAACAAATGCTTCAGCCTCACGTTTGTCAGAACTTGCAGCCTCTCCATGCCTTACAATACTGTGTATACCACTACGCTTCTTGAATCTGTTGAACCAGCCTCTACTGGCCTTAAATTCACTAACAGCAGCACCTGCTCCTGGCATTTTCTTTACAAGATCTGCATGCAACTGCCTTGCCTACTGATAGATTATACCCTCTGAAACAGTCTCCCGCTAATTTTTTTGGTTGATCCACAACAACATCTCCACATCCTCAATTGTTTGTGACCTCTGTTTCATTAGCATATCTACCCCTTTCGCAGCATCAGCTTCAATGATTTCTGCTTTATTCAACAGCATGGAACTCGCCATACATCCTGGCAAGGTCCGTCACACGTACGCCACTTTCATGTTTTGCTATAACTTCTTTTTTGAATTCTATTGTGTTTCTTGAATTCTATCGTGTTACCAAAGAGCTAGCACTCGAACTTTCTTTGACCTCATGGTGACTTATTTCACAGTTGCAATCAACAAAAAAAAACAGAAACACTGGATGAAGCTACGAAGTATTCCTAATGCAACGAGAGAGACTCTCAGACTGAGTGTGATATGTGTGAGGAAGAGTGTCGCCGGTCGATGGTGACGTGTCTCATACCAATGATTTCTGAGAGCATGGCTGATATCCGGAGCAAAATTTCGCCGACAAAGGTGCTCGATTTCCGAATTGGCCGATTTCCGCAACGACCTATAACCGGGGTTCCACTGTACAGTGGACCCCCGGTTAACGATTTTAATCCGTGCAAGAGGGCTCATCGTTATGCGAAATAATCGTTATGCGAATGAATTTTCCCCATAAGAAATAATGGAAATCAAATTAATCCGTGCAAGACGCCCAAAAGTATGAAAAAAATTTTTTTTTACCACATGAAATGTTAATTTTAATACACACAAACTGAAAAAGGCATGCACAATTAAATGACACTTACTTTTATTGAAGATCTGGTGATGATTGATGGGATGGGAGGAGGGGAGAGCATTATCTTCTTACTGTTTAGAAGGGGAATCCCCTTCCATTACGACTTGAGGTAGCAAGTCCTTTTCCGGGGTTACTTCCCTTCTTCTTTTAATGCCACTAGGACCAGCTTGAGAGTCACTGGACCTCTGTCGCACAACAAATCTGTCCATAGAGCTCTGTACCTCCCGTTCCTTTACGATTTGTCTAAAATGGGCCATAACATTGTCATTGAAATAGTCACCAGCACAGCTTGCAACAGCTGTGTCAGGGTGATTTTCATCTATAAAGGTTTGCAGTTCAACCCACTGTGCACACATTTCCTTAATCTTTGAAGTAGGCACAATGGATTCCACAACTGGCATAGGCTTCTCAGGGTTAGCCCCAAACCCTTCAAAATCTTTCTTAATTTCCATACTAATTCTCACCCTTTTTACCACAGGGTTGGCACTAGAAGCTTTCTTGGGGCCCATGGTCACTTATTTTCCAGAAACAGCACCGAAAATACTGTAATAATACGAAATATTCCGAGTGTATGCTTGGATGTTACCGCGGAGGCTGGCTGGTAAACAATGGGACGGGGCGGCACATGTGAGGCTGGCTGAGGGCACATTGGACGCGTCTCGGACGAAAATCGGTAAGCGGGTTTTTAATCGGTATGCGCGGCAAAAATTTTGCGATAAAAGTAATCGTTATGCGGAAAAATCGCTATGCGATGCCATCGTTATGCGGGGGTCCACTGTATTTGCATACATGCACACATGCAAGGACTGGTATTTCAAGAAACATTTCTCCTGGGTAATAGAATGAACAGAAGAGTGACACACAGAAGGCAAACTCCATACAGAAGTTCAATACATATTAAATATAGTATAATGGGTCAGTCATATCAGTTGAATGAAAACCAAGAGGCTTGCTCAAGAGCTTCAGCTCATTCCCTTCAACCATCCCCAGTAACTTCACTGGGACATTTATTTCCTAGTTGTCTTTTCATGAATGCATAGACATCACAAATTAAATGATCTACTGAATCACAATATCCCCACTCAGCCTTCAAATTGCAGGCACTGTACTTCCTATCTCCGAAAATCAAGTCCACCTAACAGGTTTTCCTGAGTTCTTTCACAAATAATATCTTGTTTACAGTCCAACAGTATATCATTTTGTGAAAAAAACATTTGTCTACCCTGATCTACTACACTCATACATACCTGCTGAACACTTAAGTTACTACCTTTTAAAAGTCTTCTGTACACCTTTCTTCCAACCCCTGTGACCTGTGGCCTTTCTTGGGATATCAGTGACACTTTCCATCTACCCTGGATTTATACTGCCTCCTAAAAACCTAACTAACATCATTCTTTCTAAATGATCAAACTAATTTCAATAACTCCTTGTCTGTTCCTTGAATTATACCTTCCATACCACTACACCATCTAATTTTTTCATTCCTTATTCTCTGCATAATATTCCCACTACACATTTTTCTCAAACACAATATCTATACTACCTCCAGTCTCCTCTCTGCAGCAACATTCTAAA